TTAATTATTTAAAATTTTAAAATTAAAACAAAAAACTCAAAACTACAATTTTATAAAATAGAATATAAACTAATCATAAAAATAATTTTTATTTTTATAGTTGTCTTGTAGCATGCAATCAAACATAACAAGTCTGGAATAAGTATCTTATCTTTTTTCTTTTTTCCTTTTTTGTAGAAGAATAAGTATCTTATCTAATAAATATATGAATAATTTTGAGCAAGAATTGAAAAAGGACTACAAAAAGAGAAGTTGAAAAACACAGAATGTGATGAGATAGGTGGCCCACCGTGAATGATGGACGGCGACCGACTCTCCTCTTTTTTTCCAGTCAATTCCTCCCAAAGCGGACCTCACCTTTTTCCCTCCATCACCGTACCATAAAACTATATTCTTTCCCGGAGCATCAATTTTTTTTTTTTTTACTTTTCTTTTCATTGTTTTATAAAAAAAATTCTCAAGACAGGCTAATTTCCACAGAATAATCCTCAAAAAAATTAAAAAAACACACCCACATTCTTACAAAGCACAAAGATTCTCAGAAAACAACATCAACAACGACAAATGCTACCTGTAAAAGATCCAAAAAGTAATAAAGGTACCTGCAAATTTTTATTTTTAAAAAAATTATTTCCTGTTAAATCTTTTTGCTCATTGCATTTTGTAATTTCCTTTAGAGCTTTTACTCGATAATTATGGCAGTAAAATATTTCCATCTAATCCCAATTCTCCTGAATTCTGAGGATTTTGAAGGTAGGAAATGAAGGGGACAGCAGAATTCAGCTGTTGGGACATTGATGATGACATAAAAAGTTTCAAACTTTTTCAGTTGGGTTGAATTTTTTTTCACCCACATTGTTTAATAATCGTTGGGGTTCTTCAAAAATCTGATTTTGGGGTTGAATTTACAGGTATAATTAAGACTATTTTAATGAGATTTACAGTGTTCTTGTTGTGGGGTGACTTTTGTTGCCGTTAGTGGTCAGCACGCCTGGCACTCATCATTCCCTCCAATCCCTTTCCTTTCTCTCTCTTCGGCAACCTTTTGCTCTCTCTAAACTTGAATTGTGGTTCTTCCTTTTCTCTCTCTCTCTCTCTCTCTCTCTCACTTTTTCCCTTCTCAGCTTTTCTTTGTCCCTGTTATTCAAAATAGCCCCCTGAAGTTCTAGTTCTAATCTTGTCGGGTGTATTGGATCTGGGTCGCGTTTTGTTTGAGATTATCATCAAGAACAGGTATTTCGTATTCAGGATTGCTGCTTTTTTCAATAAAGAAATTTGATCGAATTTAAGTTTTTTATGCTCTGTTTTGGTTAACTATGTTTGGTTTGCTAAATTGAACTAGGAGAAAGATTGAAACTTTAGAGCTTTTTTGGGTGTTTTGGTAGGTGGGAATTTTATCTGAATTTTTATTTTTATGTTTTGGTGTTGGGATTTGATCTGGAGTGATTGATTATAGTTTCTTGCCTGATTTGCGGAAAGTGGGGAATGGTTTTTTCAAATGCTTTAGCT